TCGTGCGGCACGATGACGGCAACACAATGTGCACAATGTGCGTTCAACGCACAAATGCGCGTGCCACATATGAGCCATTGTGCGACTCGTGGCAATGCTGTGCTGACACGCGACGCGAAAGACGCGAAAGCCGTCCGCGGCACGATGACAGCAACGACGACGCTGGGTACTTGTTTTCCCCTTCACAGTAAACCTTTATGACGCTTAGGACATTGTTAATTGTAATAATTAAAATAATTATGTGTCGATAATAATCGCGATCACATTTAGAAAAAGAATTTGACAAGATACGAAGCGTTTCGCACTATTACTTTACTGCTCGAGTGTCGTCGTGCGAATGATAACAAAGCCGAAGCACGTAAATATTAGCGCGCTATTGTTTACGCCGCCGAGAATACTATTGTTATGGATAATTCGGTGCCGAAATATTTTACATACTATGACGTATATATAGGCGGAATATTAAATTATACAAGTATTTTAAATTATAGATCATTTATTTAATAAAAGATTAATATATCACGAAGCTTATCGTTATGTTAATTACTCGGACCTGCGATTCGACTATTTTATTATGCTTTCTCAATTCGAATCATATTTACTTTAAATCGTCGAAAAGTCAAACGAAAAAGAATCAGACAAAATATAACTAAACTTTAAGTATTTTTAAAGAAATAATTATTGCTTATAAAGAGAGAGAGAGAGAGAAAGATCATGACAAAACAATAATTTACAATTTTGATTCTCGTCACTTTGATTCTTCATTAAATGTGTATATATCACGCGAAATACGCGCCTTGAGATTTATCGTTGTGATATAATCACGTATTATTTAAAGTATGTAAAAGATAATTAATTATCAATTTTAACAAATGATTTCCCGATACTTGTCGCGTTTAGCAAAGGAATTTGACGGAGCGTCTCGCACTGCTACCTTACTGCTCGAGTATCGCCGTATGAATGATAACAAAGCCGTGATACATAAACAATGTTTACGCGCGTCAATGTTTACGCCGCCAAGGCCGTATACCATGTTAGGTATTGTTCTAATTAGCTACCGAAATATTTTACATACTATAAAATATATATGCGAAATATTAAATTATATAAGTATTTTATTATAGATTAATTATTTATTAAAAGATTAATCGGAAATTATCGTTATATTAATTATTCGACTTTGCAATTCGATCGTTTTGCAGCATGTTCTTAATCGAAATTATATCTAGATCGTCGAGAAGTCAAATGATATAGCATCGTGGACAAAATGTATTTGACTATAAGCATTGTCAAATAAATAATTATTATCCGTAGGATCGATGATATCGAAGGATCGTAACAAAATTTATAATTTTTATCCCTAATGCTTCGATTTTTATTCGCAATAATGGATTATCGCCCTTTGATAAAGATTTATATTTGCAATTATTTATATTCGCAATATAGTTTTGTGTCGCTTATTAAAAGTAAATTAATCGTTAATTGTAATAATCATACTAGTTGCCATCGCGTTTAAAAATAAAATTTAAGAATATACAAAGCGTTTTAAAGTATATTTTAAATTATGATTAATTATTTATTAAACAATTGATGTACGTTTAATTATCGCTTTCTAAAAAAGGCGTAAAACCTTCGAACTCGAATATATCGAAGCGTTGAAACCTTTTTTCCGTGATTGGCTGTCTCGTTTGCGCGCTGCGATTTGCTCCACTCGTGTTATTTGCAACTGTCAAATCATGCGAATTTTGACAGTTTGACAATTTGTGAAAGAAAAAGTTAAAGTTATGGAAAGAAAAATTTTAAAAATTGAAGAACGTCCATGAATAAAAGCGCGCACCTGTGTTATTTTAATCTCCTAAAATTGCAAGTGATTTCCCCAATATTTTATTGCAGCGATTAAATATGCACGCGCGCGCGTACCGTAATAAAATAATTTTTTATTTAAACGATAAATACACACGGTGATTACAGTCGCGGCTAATCTTCGCTCCCGAAAAGAGAAAATAAATATAATAGATATATCGCGATTTAATTAAAAAGAGTAATAAAAATCGATTAACAGAAAACAACTCAAGCTTTCGATATTATGACATTTCTTTCGAGCTTTATAGGCGGATCACATACGTGATACACGATCGATACGCATACGACATACGGCATTGAAGTAGTGCGCTGAAGTCTCTCACCTAATCCTCACTCCGCCCAAAGCTGCGCGAAGCGAGGTCGTTCTTTCCGTGAACGCAGTACAAAAAAGGCGTGAAACCTCGAACTCGAATATATCGAAGCGTTTTTTCCGTTTTTCCGTGATTGGCTGTCTCGTTTGCGCGCTGCGATTTGCTCCACTCGTGTTATTTGCGACTGTCAAATCATGCGAATTTTGACAGTTTGACAGTTTGTGAAAGAAAAAGTTAAAGTTATGGAAAGAAAAATTTTAAAAATTGAAGAACGTCCATGAATAAAAGCGCGCACCTGTGTTATTTTAATCTCCTAAAATTGCAAGTGATTTCCCAAATATTTTATTGCAGCGATTAAATATGCACGCGCGCGCGTACCGTAATAAAATAATTTTTTATTTAAACGATAAATACACACGGTGATTACAGTCGCGGCTAATCTTCGCTCCCGAGCGCGTTTATACGAATTAACGCGATAAACTGAATTATCATTTAGAGAGGCGCACTTTTTTCCGATCGGGGACGTTGCTTTCGCAGGCAAAAAGATATCGAGAGATTTAACGGACGGGAAAAGGGAGGAAATGGTCGACGGAGAAAAAGAAAATGCAATTTAGTCCACATAAACCCTAAGTCTAGTGGACGAGTAACTTCGGTCGATTAAGCATTTTTGATCCTCAAACCAATTACCGGATTCGAATATATCGATGATGCAATAATATTATATATCCTTTTCATATTCTGAAATTATTCATTGAAGCGAACAGTCACAAAACGACTGCCATTATACCGCTGACACATGCGCAAGTGATTAATTAAACGAACATCGCGAAAATCAGCGACGACTTACACGTCATTTAGAATCTCCATCACAAGTCAATCTGATAAAAAACGAAAGAAATTCTCATTCCCATTAAAACGTCAAGCGTTTTTCGAGAGTTGCGTGACTCGCTGCTACACCTTTATACATGCCCCGATCAGACTCTCTTGATTAACGAAGGTTTCATGTCGGAAATGGCAAAATGGTAGATCATATTTGAGATTAAACACGAAATTAATGTCCCTCGAGATACGTGTAATACTTTTCACGAGAAGATATCGCGCCGAAACTGACAGTTAACAGCTGATCGATCGGCCGAGCCCCGAGTAGTGAAAAGTCGAGAATAGGACAATATCCCGAACGATATCAATCGATTTACATGGATATCGTGTACCGCACAGACTACAATGGTGATTCGAGTTTTAAATGAGCTTTTTCTTGCGGCGTCGCAAAACCGCGGAGTCACGAACACAATGGAATCGTTTCGCCGACGATACTTCCAGCGCGAATTTTACTTGCATCGTTATAGAAATATTTTAGCAGTCCACCGCTCCATCAATTTTGAGAAATAACGTTTGGTCTGCGAGTTTGCGCGATAATCGCTAACGATCTGTTTCGCTTAATTCTCGATATTCGACGAGAGCCAATTTCTGCGAGCGTATCTAATGGAATAAAAGTGATTTGATTTTTTGCGCAGATAAAAATTCGTTCACGAGATTCGCTCGAAAAACTTTTCGAATATTCTTTCCGGCGAACAAAAGAGAAACTGTTCTGATAATATTCTGATTAGGCAATTTCTGATAAAGTCACGTGTATTTTCCGAAACAGTTGGAGCTCTTCTCATAGGAGAGAAGTTCGCTCTGCACTATTCGTAAAAGCTAATCGTATACTCGGGGTGACGCAAGATTACCATATAAACCACAAAACTCTTCTCGTTCTGTCGTAGTTCTATCGACCCCGAATGTTTGTCCTTCGCCCTTTACCCTTTGCCCCATTCTGCCATAACACATTCGGCTCAGCTGACGTAGGAAGCAAAGGGCTTCCCTCACGACACGTGTATTTGACAAAGTAACTATCATCTGGTTATCAATTAAGATAAAATGTCAAATGTCATCGTTAAAAGATTTTATCGAAAAATTCTTTTGATAAAACCTACGCTTTAAAAAGTATGTTGAAATCTAATTGTGCAATTTTAACGCATCGAATCACACTAATATCTTCCATTTTTTATCGAAAAACAGACGCTTTGATAAATGTAAGCGCTCTTTATCAAGTTCAAGAAACGAATCAGAGAGACGCGACATAATTGCCATTCGTTACTAGCTAATCTTCCTTTTCTATTTTGCCGATTCTTTTCTTCGATCGCAGTAAAAGAACGTCGAGTAATCCGTTCGCTTAAATACAAAGATTCGAGGGAAAACTTTCGTTATTCCAACAGCAACACCGTCTTGGGATTGCCGTTATCGATTGTCTTTCGCGGTGATATTCGTGTTTGCCTCGCTCGGATAAATTCAATCGATCGACCGAATCGTCCTGCATCGTTCTTTTTTCTTTCAATCCATCACTTCTACGATCGCGATACATTTTTATTCCATGTCCGAAGTAAAAAAGGACGACGTTAATATTCGGCTCTTCGTCCTTGGATTGACATAACAAGGAACGATACCCGCGCAGACCCATCCGCATCCGCATCCGCCGTATAAAAATTTGATCGTTTTCACGGGACAATCGAGTTTTTCAATGAGACACAGTATCTCCGTATTGAATTTACCGAGAAAATCCCTCGTGCAATAAATCACACGGCAGTTGATACGAGCCTGGCAAGCACCGGAGAACAATAAATAATTCTCTCCTTCCCTTCCCCCGAGTTTCTTTCTCCGCGACTCTTTCCGTCGCGCTTTTTCTTACCGAACACTTTTCACGGGCGGAATAACTCAATCTTTCTATTTACGTCGTGTGGGCGAATAATTAATTGCCTCTCCAAATCTCCTTTCTTGTTTCTGTTACAGTCACCGAAAAGGAGATTCGTCAATGGTAAGTTTCACCCTAGGAAAGACAATGAGCCATTATCTGAACTTGTACAAACTCGGACAGGATGATTAAAGATTTCGGCGATAGCTGAAAAAAGATAATTTGTTGACAGAATATCGTTAATTTAAATCTATGTCAAATTAAGATAAATAGTTATTAGAACAAATAGATTCTCGAGAAATTATTTCATAAATTATTAACAACGCAAAATATTGCATTTTTGCTTTGAAAATAATTATTTATATTAGGACTGCTTTATATTATTTAGGCACAAAGGATTCTTAAAAGATTGCCCCGATGGATTGCTAACAGAACAGGTATGTATATCTACGTCAGAATATATTAAATGCATTAATTTTCTCCTTCTCTTTTGTCTCATTTACCAAAATTGCTTATGACGGAAAATAAAGATTAATAAAAAATTTAACGTACGGACATTTTCAAACTAATATGAATAATTGAATATATATTAGCCTATAAAAAAAATATACACATTAATCACACGCCATGTGGCAACAACAGAGGAGGAAAGGGTTAATCACCCCCAAATAATCAATAGCGAGTAAAAAGCTCGAGATATGCACAAAGCTCGCGTGATTTCAGGGGTTTATAAAGATCTACAAGCAGTTCTTCCCGCAGGGTGACCCGTCGAAGTTCGCCTCCCTTGTCTTCAGAGTTTTCGACGAGAACGCCGTGAGTTTCCTGTCACGTGTGCACACATCGTGGCTTTCCACAAACTCTCACGCTTCTCAAATTTGCGTTCGTCATGTCGGCGATTGCGTGCAGAGGACTATCACGCGATGCACTTTCAACCATATCTTGCTGAAATTATTTTTCTCCCCCGTCGCTGTCGTTGCCCTCGCAACGTCTTTATTGCCGCGTTTAACTGCCGATTAAGCATTTATTTAGTCTGGCATTAGATAAGAATAGGTTGTTAATTTACATAGTAAATCGTACGCTGAACAAATGCTCAGGGTAAAACTGAGACAAATATGAATCAAGCCGAACACGAATTGATCGCGATGTTTAATCAGTGCTGGCTCGCTTTCCGAGTAATTGAGTGAATATTTCTCGCCGCAAATCGACTATCTCTATCGAAAATATTGAAAGATATTTGAGACAGAAATTTTTCACGGATTTCTCTCGCAAAACTACTCGACTTGCGAGGTCTCGAGAGAAGATAAGGATATTTCAGAGAGAGGAAATTATTTGCACAGTGTATGATAGTTATTAGATTTAACTGTAACCCGGTTGCTGTTTGTCTTTGAAAAACGCGATCGGCAAGTAGTTTGCGATTCTCGAATAGTTTGCGATCGATAGGAAAAAGCATCTCGCGTGCGACAGCCGGGACAAAATAAGGAAATGTCGGATTGTTGTTTCAGGACGGTACGATAGAATTCGAGGAGTTCATAAGGGCGCTCTCGGTGACGTCACGCGGCAACCTGGACGAAAAGCTTCACTGTGAGTACCTTGTTCCTGATCCCCCTCGAAAAAACTTATCCACTCGAATTTTTGGGAGAATTCACTCGCGAGTTATGTTGTTTACCCACCTACTTTGGATACATGACGCGCAATCGCCGAGATCTCTCTATGTATATCCCCCTATTTGATTTATTCAAGATAGTAGAAGTCTCGAAAACTTAAGTCATCCAACTTTATCTGAAAAAAATAAAAAATGTCGCCGTTCCCAACTTTTCGTGATTAAACCGAAATTATTAATTAAAAGAAATGGATCTCAAAAATAAATTGCTTTTGACATTTTTTTAGAAAATTTTTGATAAATTTTTTCGATCAAATTAAATTTAATTACATCACGAGATTTATTTTTTACTTAATCAAGTAATAAATACATATTCATATTTTCTGCAAAAATTTTATTTCGCGGAGAAAGGACATTCGGGACACTGCGAAGAGAATTACACATAAAATTCGAGACGAGCTATGAAAAATGATCATCGCAATGCGAGACGATAAAGGACGAGACTCTCTCGATTGTCTTCTCCAAGAGAATAGCTATCGATGAACGATCGCAATCTGAACCAGAAGTGAACAATATAAGATGTATAGCTTCGCCGAGGTTATCACGATCGCGAAACTATATCGTCGCCGGAGAAAACTTGCAAGCTCGCGAAAGACAGAGGAAAAGTGCACGCGAAATGGAGTTTCTTCGAACAAAGCGCGCTTTCGGACATCTTCCCAGAAATTCAGTCGCAAAAGTCAATAGCGTTTTTCTTCCCCTTTTCTCGTTTCTTTTCAGGGGCCTTTCGTTTGTACGATGTGGACAACGACGGCTTCATCACGAGGGACGAAATGTACAATATAGTCGACGCGATATATCAGATGGTGGTAAGTGTATCTTTTTCAACGTGCTTGGCCCGCAAAGAAACCTTTGACATGAAACAAATTCCATTGCTCGCATCTCGATTTTGTTAGTCTCCCTCCCTCCAACCCTCTCGAAATAACAGAGACCTCTAGACAATCACAAATTCTTGGAGAAGAAGCTGTTATTAAAAATCTGATAGTATAAAGATCAAAGACAATTTATTAATATTTTAATACTATATTACTTAATTGCGTGTTTCATTTATTGACAGCTATAAATAAAATCGTTTACGGTAACATAAGATTTATATGGCTGCTTAAAGACTTGTTCGCTGTAATGTAATCGTAATCACTGGCGTGCTCAATATCAAGCTAATATTTTATCCCAACGAGCGCGTTATATACGTGTAACCTAGCGGAAGTTATAATCCTCTTGTGCAGCTTCCAACCGGCGAACTGCAAGCGAGTTAACGACACAAGCTATAACGTCACCCATCCTCGCTGCTGCTCGTGACACAAACGCGATGTACGCGGCACACACAGAAAAATATTATTCTATTGCTAAGTGAAATGATTACTCAGTTTACTTTACTTCTTTCAAGTAACAGTTATCTTTAACAAAGAATATTTTCTTAATAATAGTCTTAAAATAGACTTATCACAAATTTTAGAAATATCAAATATCATGTACTCAAAAAAAGTAAATATTTTCTTTCGAAGAATATTATAAAATTTTATCGAAGAAAAGTCAGATATGGTTAATTTAATGTAAGAAAATTTATTAGATCAGAAAAATTTAATGTATTTCTTTCAATTATATAATTTAATATTCTTGATTGAAGTATTAAATTTATTAGGATTCAGAATATATTTTGAATAAATTTGATGCTTATGATGAACTTATAATAAATTTGCGGATATATGAACTTATGAAATACTTGAAACAAGTAATATTTACTTGTATATAGTATGTATTTTTCTGTGTGCATCTTTGAAGTTACACGATGTTACCCCCTATTACGCAATACTCGCTATAATCTTTCCGCATATTAACACTTTAATCGTTTCATTCCGGACGACATCATCGGGCGTTGAATGGGCAGAAAATAATGTACTGGCGGACGTGCACTTCTCCCGGAAACAGGCATTACCCAACGTAATGCCCGCGTGGTCTAATTAAAGCACCGATACTAAACAAGGTCGCGCACGTCCGGGGTGATTGCGCACTTTCGGGCCAAACTTTCCGCGTTACTTCCACCGGGACGTCAACGAAAAACTTCCGTGGAACGAAATCCCTCTCCGGAAGGATCAGGGATAATATAATACGTCGACACTCTCCGGGTGTTGTTTTGCGCGGATATTCGCGCCCCATACAAATTTCAGCGTAAAATTCGTTGGAGCGTGACTGCGGAAAGTCCGTCGCGCGACAACGATTCGCCATTAATCACTTCGAAGTCTCGTTAATATTAATTTCAAAGAGAAATATATACAGTGGCGCGTTATTATGTGTATATATCCGCGGGGCGGGGGGTAGGGGGCGGGGGCTCACGCATGGTAATCCATAAACATACGGGTTGCGATCGACAAAAGCGGACGAACGGAAACTTTATACGTCGACTTTGAAACAATAAACGCGATTGGGAGCTAAATGCAACCGATAAAGCCAAATTACATTATCGGGAATTAGCGGTCGATTCAATTAAAACTCGCGAGATCAAACGAATGCGTTAAAAGTCAATATCTCGCATGGTGTCCATAATATAAACCAACATGCGGCAATAAATTCGCCGCAATAAAATAATAATGGATAGTGAAATTCTATCTCTCTTTCTCTCTCGTGTCGTCGAAACGGCGATAAAGCTTCACGATAATAGGAATTAAGTTCTCTGTATATTAATTTTCGCATTTTTAGAAACGAAAATTTGCAAATAAATTGTTCGCGAGTAAATTTTCTGAAATAATCTCGCTGACTCTTTTTAAAAAAATGCACGTTATTTATAGATTCATATAATCTGTAATAAAAAAAGTACTTTAGCTCGCACCTTCTCTCTAGTAAGGGTAACATGGCAATTTGGAAGCCCCATTAAATCCCGTCGATTAATTAAATTCCAAGGGGAGAATAACGTCGGATGTTACAGGGACAGCAGCCGCAAGCCGAGGACGAGAACACCCCGCAGAAGAGGGTCGATAAAATCTTCGACCAGATGGACAAGAACCACGATGACAAGCTCACACTCGAGGAGTTTCGGGAGGGTAGCAAGGCCGATCCCAGGATCGTTCAGGCGTTGTCCCTGGGCGGCGAGTAACCCTCATTCCCATCACGGACGGCACACGACCCTTCGGAATCGGAAGTCTCCACGCCGTCGTCGTTATCGTAATTATCGGCGCGAGCTGGGCGAACCGCTCGTCCCGATAATCGGCCGATGAGAAACAACCCTGAGAAAAGGCAAGTTCACATCCGCGCGGTTTGGCATGCACGTATAATAGAATAGGTAATAACGCGAGCGTGAAAGGCATTCGAGATGTAGAGATTTGCGACTATTTTTGAAGAAATCTCTCGTCAAAGAATTATAATTCTCTCTCTATCTCTCACTTTTTTTCTACTTTCTATCTCTCTCTCTCTTTTTATCTCGCTCTCGGAGAAGATCGGTTCTCGTTCCCCGTTGGTGAATCGATCCCTCCGTCTTCATTAATGCTCCGATTTCGAGAATCTCGGTGCTAATAAATAGATGTTTAGCGTTCAAATAATCGTAGCTTTCAAGGAGACTGGACGTGACAAATTACATTCTTAACTAGAGAGCATGCAGGACTTCGATATGAACAAATTATTAGAGTACGAACGATGAAGATATATAAATTACGAGAGGGTAGGAGCATTCGCTCTCGCCTCGAAAGAAATTTCTTTTGTCGCGTTATTCCTTCTCTGCATTTTCCTTATTCCGTCGACAAAGCAACGTCACGGTAATAAGATAACGAGTAAAATTCAGAGAAGACACTCAACGAGCGCGACGCTCGAATTTCAACGAAGCTCACCGGCGTTATTTCCGATTATTGCAGCGCGGTTCTAGATTCGGTAAAAAAAAAAAAAAAAAAAAAAAAAAAAAAAAAAAAAAAAAAAAAAATGGGAAAAAAACGGAAGGGGGTAGCAAGGAAATTGCAGCGGGGGTAAGCATTCAAATGCAGACCCAACTGATCGCGCATTGTGCGACGTTGCGTAGCGGGTACGAAGAAAAATTCCAAAGTCGCACAATGAGCACGTACGTATTTCAACAATACCGACAAAAGAATCGGGAAGCGTGCAATTTTATTTTGGACGATGAATAGCGCAATAACAACGAGAAAATGCAATTCGTCTCTATTCTTCTGTATACTCTTCCCCCCTTTTCTATTTTTACGCAACGCGCTTCTATTAAACATTTTCTCGTCATTCGATCAAGAGTATAAATATCGCGATATGTTTGGGGACATTTATATAATACCACTTTATATAAGATCGCTACCTTAGAAGCCGCTGTCGATTATTCATTTTTAAATGTCAAAAAAACGATGTCGGGTATTAACGAGCGTTGCGTGCCGCTAACTAAAATTGCACCAGCAGCGATTTGATGCCCGGTCGCACCATTTGCGCGTGCAAGTGATTTCTTAACGAATTGCGGCGCCATCGACTCGCTTTGCGTAACCACGGCATTAGACGGCGTGGCAAAAATTCGGCGATACGGGGACGATGACTAAGCAAAGAGAGAAGATGGATAATGGCAATCTACTATTTTCGATATTAATGAGTGTTTTACGTCACTTACGCGAGCGACCGACCGTACAATTTATCCGCCGCGGTGCAGCGTATCATCAATAGGATCTCTGCCGGATTACAAAACGTGAAATCGAAGAAAAGCGCGGGGAATATAATTAAAGTAAGTATGGAAGAACGATATACGCTTATCTCGAATCGCAAGAAGCTAAGTTATGTTATTATATTAGTCGTATTTCGCAGAATACGCGCCGATAATGGGATATTTTATTAGAAAGTGTACAAATATACAATTATAAAGAAAGCGCGACTAATGAAAATAATGAATGAGATTATTAAATATGAGTACCGCGTTGCAATAACGATCGACCGTCGAATATTAATGAGCAAAATTACTTGGTAGATCTCTTAAATCCACGTGCTTTAATTATAATCATCGACACACTCTTGATGCTCCACTTCCGAATTTCAACGATCTAATTTTCATTCAAGATGACTCGAGTAGAATAAAACTTGCGATCGATAAAGAGAAGAGTACCTGGCGTCACTTGGAATAGGCACTTTTACCTAGAATAAACTAATTAGAATTACATGAAAAACAACTGGGAACAAGATTGAAAGAGCACGCGGTAATCTGTATTTTTCACATAATAACGATCGATTAATCATCATTATATAATGTAAGACGTGCTCCCATAAAATATTAAAATAAAGTCAAAGTAAGAAAGGCGGAAGGGACAGAAATATCAGATTGAAATAAAGCGAAAAGTGATTAAGCTAAATGAGGGAAAGATCGAGCTCATGGGACGGATCTGTCTACATTAGGCGAATATGATTAAGAGAAACGAAGGAGAAATAATTTACGTCGAAAATTTGATTCTCGATTGACACGATTGATTGTCTATAATAAAGCGAGACACAGAGCGAATAGCGATAACGACTTGCATTTAGTTAGTAGAGAGCGCCCACGCGACGTGACATTATTGGTACACGGATTTATCGGAATTTCAGATCTCTCTCCTATTCTCCGATATTAAGGAGAGCGTCAGATGTTCGTCGGATAAGAGCGGGGAAAATCCATCGCGACAGAGCGAGACAGCCAAGGACGATTAAAGGGAGTAGGTAGATAGGTGGAAGTAGGTATGGTAGACGCGCCAGACGTCTCCCGGATCGATCCGCTTATAACATTGTGCGTTCCAAATACATAGTCGAATGAGTGCAAACTTACGGGAAGGACAAAAGAAAAAATGTTGGAGATAATCGCGCGAGAAGGGGAAGAAAATAAAGAAAAGCGGGAAGAAACGCGTCTCTTATAGATGCGAAACCGGACGAGGATAGATTCCACAATAAGGAGATCCCGGGTGGCGCGGTCATAAATCTTGCACGGTTCATGCCCCCTCGGTCAGCCCTTTTAAAGAATAAACCGACGTTTACACACGTGGGGGCGGATAAAAGTTGTCGTCGCCGAGGAAATTGGAAAAACATCACGCGAGAGAAAGAGAGAGAAAGCAAACAACGATGGACCGGTGGCGTACGAGAGATAACGGAAAGTTAAATAAGGTCCGAGAGGGCGGATCGCCGACGACTTATGAAAAATGCAAAAGCACTCGATCCGGTGCCGCCATGCAATATACAGGGCGTTGCTGTCAAAACTGCACCACAATGCGCCTGGCTGCACTTTCGCTGCGCAAAAACTAGGATTCGGCGAGGCTCTTTCGGAGACGAGGTCTGCGAAGAGTCTCGGTTCTTATTCAATGACGCAGTCTCCCTTTCAATCTTCAAATTTCGCGTCGCCCGGAATCTTAGACGCAATAATTAAAATTGAAACGAGAAATCCATTCATCTCGGATAAAATAAATATGAATGTGCAATCGTTAACGAGCGAGATTTAAAATAAATTTACGACATATGTTTTTAAAACTTACTGCCGCGGAAAATTAACGCGTTTTGCGTTAGCAAAGGAAGAAAAAGAATTAAATTTGCAAAGGTGAATAAAGAAAGAGATTCCTTTGAGAAAAGCTGAAATTCAAGGTACCATTTAATTTTCAAAGCGGGGTTTCCATCTTTTTCTATCTCTGCATCGTTCGCTCTATTCTACGACTGGATAAATGTAAAGCGGGAAGAGATACGAGTCAACTTACACAGGAATGAGTCTGTGACAGAGAGAAATGCCGCATAACTGGCAACAAAAATTCACAAGCCCGGAATATCTCTAGAGATTTAAATGCGACGTTACGAGAGAGAAAAGCGTACGTTATTGTCCCAAATAACATTCGCATATATATATATTTGACAAAAATTTTACGCACCCGATACACATTGCGTAAAAATAAGCACGACTGACATAATAAAACGATATTTGACATATATAAGAGACAAATATTAAAGCAAAATGTATTCGGCAAATTTGCAAAATAAATCATCCGACTGTTAAATCCGACTGTTATCCCGCGTGATTTACAAGATTTAAGAACCTTTATCCATTTCGTACACGAATATCAACGGAACAATACAATGAAATTGCATGAATCTTTCGGTCTTACCGTTTGTTCTTTTTTTTTTTTTTGTACACTAAAAAGCTAGCGCAATATGTTCGATATGTTTTTCGTTCATTTCAGCACTCTCATTTCACGCTCGAAAAGCTAAGCAGACCTGCACCGAGTTCTCCGCATACGGAAAATTACGAATGGTTCGCCTAATATTGATATTGCGATATATATCACTTTATCTCATGCGCAGCTATCCCTTTTCTATCCGGCGAAATGAAAAAACGCACTAAAAAAATTGTATTCTCGAAATATATATTTCATAAATCTTCTTAATAAATATTTTTAATAAATAAGGATATTTCCTTCTTTATATAATTTTTTTTTAAATAAATTAAGAATGTATTAAATTAAAAATATATTTTTAATTTGTGACAACTTTAGCGACAAAATTCAACCTAACGTGCAATGCATATTGGTACGTATAAATAGCAAATGTCCATTTGTAAAATTATTTTTTGTTATCATGGTTAATGATCTTAAATATTAAATAATATAATAGTAAAAAAACATTCTTTTAGAGGGAATTATTATAAAGATAAGGGAAATATTCTTAAGATGAGAATACAATTTTTTCGGTGCGAATATATCGAAATTCTTTGCATAATTCGTCGCGACGAATTTTCTCCGCGCCATAAAAGTGCGAGCCATCCATATTTCCTTATCTCCGCGTATCGCGACGACATGTCAGGCTAATTTCTTTTTTATCTTGCCGTGCCAAATCGGCGACACACTCGATATTACGAGCGTCCCGTCCGTGTATCTCTCGCGCATCCCCGTCTTCTCTTAATTTTTTTAGAGAAACTCGCTGTCGCGTCGGCTCGCCATAAATTCAAGGCGCGCGTGCTCGCGCCTTAACGTCGTTCCACCCCGACGGGGTTTATCCCTCCCACCCGTCTCTACCAGCATTCTCGCCTAAGTTCTCACGTGGCTAGAATTTCAGTGGCCGTTCGGCGGGATAAGTCTATTTCCTGGAATAAAACTTGAACGACGGCCAAAGCGCCTTCGGTTCTCCAGGCGCTCGAAACTCATTTACCACGTAACGTACATATATATTCGACGACGATGTTTTTCACAGCTCGGGGCCTCCTTATTCCACCGCTAATTTCGTTGCCCGCCGACTACTAGTTGCAGATTTTTCCCTCGCCCGAGATTTACAACTGCCTGAAATTTGAGCTATTCTTTACTCCTTCCTTTATTTTCCTTCCTTTAGTTTCCATTCGCAAAATTCCCGGGCATTTTTCATCATCCCCCTGTATACCGAACATATTTTTCTTTTCACGCTTGCTTTACCCCTTCCCTTAGTTATTTTATGCGTTTCTTTATCGAGCGATGGCCCGCAGAATGCATAGAACCAGCAACAATGCGGTCAGCGAAGTAAAAGCGCGGCGATAATAACAGGGTGGCGGAGGAAATTCCGGGATATATGTTTGCATACTTAATATCTCAGCAGCCAGGAGCACAATGATTAATTATACCTACGATAAACTCAAAAACCATTACGTCCTCGACATTGTGTTTGTTCGTAACTTCACTGGTAACCTCAGTTTAAAAATTCATGTCCGCATCCGACACTCTCCTCGTCCTTTTCTCTCTCAGAATTCCAATAATGATGATATCATTTCTCTCATTTATATATACGATTTCAAAAGATCCTTAAAACAAACAATACACCGTGCAAAGCGAAATTAGCATCGCGATCGTCGCGCGACCTACTCGCGCAAGCAAATATTAACCATTCGCTTGTTGTACCATTCGAGGTGACTCGAGGTCGAAATTAATCATAAGACGACGAAAGGATCGATATATCGGAAA